GCCCCCATATACATACAGTTCCTAAGTAACATTACATACCCTCATACTACATCTTCGATTAAATTTTCCACATTGCATCTTACACTTGTTAATAATCTTACATCTAGTATTACCTTATGTATGTATGTATGTATGTATGTATGTATGTATGTATGTATGTATGTATGTATATATTTGATTTATATGCCGCCCTTCTCCGGAGACTCAGGGCGGCTTACAATGCGCTAAGCAATAGCCTTCATACTTTTGTATATTTTATACAAAGTCAGCTTATTGCCCCCACAAACTGGGTCCTCATTTTACCTACCTTAGAAAGGATGGAAGGCTGAGTCAACCTTGAGCCTGGCGGGATTCGATCTTACTTTAATTGCAGACAGCTGGTGTTAAATTACAGAGCTCTGTCTGTTGAGCTATTCAGGCTCATATTTAGCTTAGTATCAACAAATCTATGCTATATGCTTTCCTAACATCTATCTCATGGCATTTTTACTTCTATCCGTTTATACCATTTATCCCAGCTTTGATTGAAAGTTGGTTCTTGTCTATCTTTAAGAGTATATGTTAATCTATCACATTCTGCACACCACAAAATTTTTTTAATAATCATCTGATCCGATGGTACTTCTTCCCCTTTCCATAATTGCGCTCGACAAGCTCGGCGTCTTAGCCACTGAGCCACCGCGTCCCTTAAAAAGTCACAATAGAACAAAGTAATTATATATGAAAATCCCCTTCTCACCCGTATAACAATAGCACCTTCCTATACAGGTAGTCCTCGACTCGTGACCACAATTGAGCCCAAAATTTATGTTGCCAAGTGAGAAATTTGTTTTGCCCCATTTTACGACTTTTCTTGTCTCATCGGTTAAGTGAATCACTGCACTTGTTAAATTAATAACATCATTGTGAATCTGGTTTCCCTATTGTCTTGTCAGAAGGTCCCAACAGGAGACGACATGACCCCGGGATACCGCAAAGGTCATAAATGTGAGTCAGTTGGGCAAGATCCAAATTTTGATCACATGATCATGGGGATGCTGCAACGGACATTAAGTGTGAAAAACAGTCATAAGTCACTTTTTTTCACTGCTGTTGTAACTTTGAATGGTCACTAAATGAACTGTTGTAAGCCGAGGACTGCCTGTATTTTGTTCATCCTCTCCCAACCTCTTGTTTTTGTAAAAAAACAGTGAACATCCATTGTGTGGGTACACACAATTAGACTATTTTGGGTGTTTCTTTGCTCATTATGCCACTTCCTGAAATCACTTTCTCTCAGCTCAACATATGTCATAAGGTTGTTGTTGGGCAGAATAGGAGGCAGGAGTATTAGATACCATGTCAATCCTGAAAGGAGCCTGCCTGAGGTCATCTTTGAGGCTTCGTGGCAGAGGGGGAGAAAGGGAGGAGGAAAATTAAATAGCTCGGCTTTGCCGTCAAAATAAAAAAGTTTTCTTGTGGGAACCAAGGTCATTCCAACGGGTGGCTGAGAAGAGGAGGAGTGGAGTAACCAGGCAACTTGCCAGCACCACTATTAGACAACGTGACTGATGACTGGGAGGAAGGGGGAACTTTTGCTTTTTAATTAGGTGAAAACCGCGGGAACTTTCAGAGTCGGTTTTCACCAGTTGTGCCAATATGATGTATCCAATAAATTGTTCGTTGAGAAATCTACCTGCCTTGGAGTTCTGCTTTCAATGGGTGCATTATTTGGAATGCTGACATACCGCATGTTCCCAAATTTGACTTGATGGATCGAAAGAAAAAGAGTGGAGAGAAAAAATATTATAATAATAATTTCCTCCACGGAGTCCAGAGTGGGAGAGGTCAAAAACACTTGATCGTCATCACAGCACAATAGAAGCTCCTCCTTTGATTACTGTAGGTCATAAGTAGCCTTAGAGAAGTCTGTCGTAACTTCGAACAGTCACTAAGCAACCAGTTGTAAGTCGAGGACTACACTGGCCAAATTCACACCATACAAGCCAACCACATTTCTATTTGGTCAAGTGTATGTACAGGGTTAATACAGTCCAGGTATTAACTTACCTCAATTTACGACCACAATCGATCCCAAAATTTATGTTGCTGTGCGAGACATTTGTTAAGAGAGCTTGCTCCATTTTATGACCCTTCCCGCCACAGTTGTTAAGTGAATCACTGCAGTTCTTATGTAAGTAACACGGCTCTTAAGTGAATCTGGCTTCTTCAATGACTTTACTTGTCAGAAAGTCGCAAAAGGGGATCACGTGACCCCGGGACATTGCAACTCATAAGTCTGAGTCAGTTGCCAAGCATCCGAAATTGGATCACATGACCACGGTCATAAGTGTGAAAAATGGTCGTAAATCCCTTTTTTCAGTGCTGCTGTAACTGAATGGTCACTAAATGAACTGTTGTAAGTTGAGGACTGTAGAAAAAATGATGCCAGTCAGATGGATTTTTTTCAGATTTATTTTTTTAAATTCAATGTTGTCCTCTTCCTTCGTTCTTTTTCCCTTGCATTGTTGCACTGCCGTTAAAATAAAAGTTTTTATTTTAGGTCCCAGGTATGTTTTATTTTGCATTTTTCCCTCCCTGTGTAATCCGCTAAGAATTGTTTGGATTGTGACAGGCCTAGAGATGCATTTGATAAATAAATTAAATATTCCTTCCACAAAAAAGAACATTGCAGTCACCCGAGACCGATGCTCGTTCTTGGCTGGCGTTCTCCAACAGACAGAGACAATATGCTCAGGAATGCAATTTGAGCCAACAGAGATTTATAGCAAGAGTACAAAAATTTATTCCCATATTTTACAAACCAAAGGCAGCTGCTGCAGAATATATTACACGCACACAATATAGCTCGGTAGTATGAAACAAGAAACCTATACAATAAAAGCTCCCGTTTGAAAAGGTAACTTACCCAAATAATTCTGAGGCGATAATGCTAAATTCAAATTGCAGCTAGCCAGAGGAAAAGAAAAATCAATGGCTGTACATGAAAACAAGAAACAAGATCTCCAAAAAGTTAAATATATTCATTTCAGGATTCTCCCCCCCCCCCCAACAATTTGGGGAAGAGAAAGAATCAAGATTTATTACGATGATGCCCTAATAGTCAGGCATCAAAAATTCTCATCAGTTTGCTATTGATTTCACAGAACTGCAAACTAGCTTTTTAACCGTACCTTAGTTGCGTGTAATTAATTTTCCTGCTACTGCAATTCATGAGATACACCCATAGGGGGCCTTCGCATAATTTAACAACCGTAGTGCAGAACCGAAAATGTGAGCTTGCGCATGGCTTCCAGCACACCTTCTTGGGCAGCCGCGGTGAGTAGAGCGGGCAAGGCGCTGAAATCAGCTGGGCTGCGTGGGTGGGGCGAGTGAGCCAGAGAGTGAGATATATAGGACGGGATAGCGGGTGGTCGGGCCCAGCCGGTGGTCGGAACTACGGGTTCGCTCTAACCGGTCTGAACCACCAGTAGCCCATCTCTGGATACATCGCAAGGGACCCCAGGGACAAGTGAAGATAAGCTAATTTGGATTTATACAGATTATCCCAGAGGTGGGTTTTTCAGCAGGTTCTGACCAGTTCTAGAGAACTGGTAGCGGAAAAATTCTGACTGGCACCGCCCCCATCTCTTCTCTGCCTCCCGAGTCCCAGCTGATCAGGAGGAAATGGGGATTTTGCAGTATCCTTCCCCTGAAGTGGGGAGGGAATGGAGATTTTACAGTATCCTTCCCCTGCTACGCCCACCAAGCCATGCCCACAGAACCGGTAGTAAAAATTTTTGAAACCCACCACTGGATAGTCCCCTGTATGACCGGTTGCTTGGTGACCATTTGAAGTTATGACAAAACTCCCTGGGAGTATATTTGCATCCTTGATTCGAATTTCTGATAACTGTGCCCTCTGCTGTCATGTAGTCATTAATTCAGGCACCTGGCAATAAGTCACATTTATGGCTATTTGCAAACATTCTGATGTCACATAGCTGCATTTTACGACGGTTTTGACCAAATTTACTTAGTTTTTGGACAAAACTGGCTCACAGCAAACCACTGGTTTGCTTAACGACCGCCACAAAAACAGTCATAAAATCGATCCTGATTTACGATCGTTGCAGTTTTGACCATGATGGATGGGATGCATTACGGTCATAATTTGAGGACTACCTATAGTTCAGACATGACTTCAGAAACACGGGTTTGAGGAGGTCCCTGGGGCTCTCTGAGTTTGTTTATTTTCTTGTAGACATTTCATTACCCAACTAGGTCACGTCATCAATGCTAGTAAGGAGTGGTGTTTGCGGTCAGTTTATATTCTGGTGTCTTGCTTGTCTGTGTGGGTAGGGGGCGGTTTTAGAGATTCTTGGGTTGGGCTAATTACTGATGGTTTTTTGAGACTTTCTTGATTCAAGGTCAGTAAACAGCCCAACCCAAGAATCTCTACAACAGCCTCCACTCGCACAAACAGGCAAGACACCAGAATATAAACTGATAGCAAACAGCACTCCTTACTAGCACTGATGATGTTACGAAGTTGGGTAATGAAACGTCTGCAAGAAAACAAGCAAGCTGAGAGAGCACCAAGAACCCTTCCTTTCAACCCCGAGCTACAAATATTCTCCTTTATTGGGACACTGGAGTTTGGGACCAAACACCAATCCAATCCAAACAGCCTCACCAGCAATCCAAACAGCCTCACCTGCCTCTTAGCAACCAACCTAAAGTGTAAGGTGTAATACTGATCCCTAAAATGGAACCTGCGAGGGACGATGGCCTCAGTAAGAAATTCTCACAAACTCCGACTAACAGCTACAGCCCTCGAGGCTGCTTCATTTCTACTAATTGTCATTATATCATCTTCATTTTAACGACAGCATAATCCCTTGCAGGGTAGAGAATGGAGCAAGCAGAGTGTTTTAATGCCCAGATGCCCTTCTTGTCGCCAATGCGGAGCTTTGTTCAGCAGATATATTCTCTGTGTGCCCAATAATGACTGATTGTCATTATATGCCAGATCGTATTTATTTCTCTACAAGGATAAAGTGAATCTTCAAACTTTTGTGGGTCCTGGATCTTCTACTTTTCCTCCCAGTTAGGACCAACCATATACACTCTTATCCAAAATGTGAACGATCGCGATAAGAATCAGATTGATGGCAATGGCTGCAGTGTTGACAGTCCTAGCTGGAGTCCTTAGTAGAATTGCTGGATCCTTGCATCCTTTGCTGCTTCCTCTCCAGATACCGAGCGCGAGCATCTTGGATCGACTGCTCGTCGTTCCGTTTCTCCATCTTCCTGGCAGGTTCACCTGGTGCCTCTTCTGAAGACAAAAGACTAGAATTCAAAATGATGAAAGAGCAGGAGGACTCCCATCTAAAATCATTCATCATTTCCTCCTATCAGAGCCATCATCATATGCTTATGCTTACTAGCTGTTAGTCTGCCATGTACAAGGGAGGAAGCTGGACGGAATGGGGGGGAAACAGTGTTGTGGTCCACCAGCAGCCTACAGAGCTGACAGCGGAGTCAGATAGTGAGGAGGCTGGGGGAGGACAATGGGCCAGTCCTGGAGTCAGGGGAAGGCCCGGGTGAGGGCTCTGCGTCGGAGGCAGAGATGGGGCCTGGGCCATCTTGGAGTGATGCACGGACTCCGGAGCCTCCAGAGGCGGATAGCAGAGAGCCTCCAGAGGCGGATAGCAGAGAGAACAGGAGGAGCCTGTCCCTAGTGCACGCATGTGAAGAGCTGCCAGAAGGCAAGAGCAGCTAAAGCAAAAAGGACGACTCGGAAGTAAGGCCAGGAGATGATTGGCCCCTCCCATAAGGCTTAAAAGAGCAGCAATTGCTCTTGGGATCTTTGTAGGAAAGCAACGTTGCTACATTTGTTTCTTGTCAGTGCCTTTTGCTTCTGAACTTTTGCCAAGAAAACTTTTGCCAAGAAAAGCCAAAAAAGACAAAGGTTGGTGATAAGGCTGAAGGACTGTTTATGAAGAATTTGTTTTGGACTTAATTTGGACTAAGCTGAGAATGAAGTAATTCTCAGCTGTTCTAATAAAATAAGTTTGTTTAGGACTGATTCTGTCTGGTAATAACTACTTGGGCCTAGGTCACAACAGACGGCTACCAACTCATCGTACCTTCCAGAGACACCGTCTCAAGATCAAAGCTCTGGGAATGGAATGCAACGGCTCACCAAGCAGCCCGCCGTTGAACTGATGTTCCCAAAACAATTTTTCCCAGTATAATTGGATGATAAGGGACCAAGGAAGAAGAGGAACTGGATGGGAAAATTTAACTGGCAAACTTTGGTGCGCGAACTTCAGTTCTGGCTTTGCTATACTGCAATCCACTTGGCTTTTAGTAGAAATACACCTTTCACTTCCAATGGAGTCGAGGGTCTTTCTTAGCTAAGGGACCAAGTCGGGGCAGGTCTGACACCTCCCGTCTCAACACCTAACCTAGACATGGATGATCTTCTGAACGTCCCACCACTTTGAAGCTCACCGTTCTGTCTTTTGAGGTCTTCCTTCTTCCTCCAATTAGCCATTTCCTCCTCTGTCACGTTCTCCCGGGCCATGCTGCTCAGCTCGTAAGCGTCGATTTGGTGAAGCCGAGGAAGCAGATCCTGCACCCAGGCGTAGCGAATTGGACACACTGTCCTTAAGTAAATCTTGGAGGTCACCACAACATCATGGAAGAGGATCCAGTCCAGCTGGTCTTCCTGATCATAGAGCTAAAAATGGTCCAGGGATTTAGGTAGAACATAGAACGATAGGGTTGGAAGGGACATTGAAGGTCTTCTAGTCCAGCCCCTGACCAACATCTGAAAGGGTTTCGTCTGTGGACAACCCACTTGGAGGGAGCCAGCTTGGGGACCCCGGAACAGGAATGTTCCTAGTAGAACAGAATTGGGGAACAATGGTCCCTTTATGACTTGTGGACTTCAACTCCCAGAATTCCCATGCTGGCTCAGGAATTCTGGGAGTTGAAGTCCACAAATCATAAAGGGACCACCGTTCCCCCAACCCTGTATTAGAAGAACCAATGACACTGCAATATCTTGTTGCAGAATGATGCCAGTGCTCTACTCTTAGCCCTCACCCCAAACCCCTTGGGGTGCCTTGGTAGTACAGTGGTTTAAGGCACCCTGTTATTAAGCCGGTTATTAAGACCAGCTGCCTGCAATTACTGCAGGTTCGAATCTCGCCAAGGCTCAAGGTTGACTCAGCCTTCCATCCTTTCTAAGGTAGGTAAATTGAGGACCCAGTTGTGGGGGCAATAAGCTGACTTTGTATAAACATACAAAAGTATGAAGGCTATTGCTTAACGCATTGTAAGCCGCCCTGAGTCTCTGGAGAAGGGCGGCATATAAATCAAATTAAAAAAAAAAAACCCCGAGCAACTGAACTACAGACTCAGGAAAGTCAGAAATGCAAAAATTAAGCTCAGGAAACGTTTCCCACCAGGTTCTTTAGAGCAAATACTCCGCCACCCAACAATAATTAACCAGAAGAGGAGACTTACAGCAGATGATGGATGAATATAGGCCACACTGCCGTGGCCGTCCATGGTGCGAAAAGACTTCCCTGAAGACCTGGAATTAAAGCCAAAGAAAAGGGGAGGAAGAGTGGAGTGGTGCGGTGGCCTAGAGGTGATGCTCTTGCCTCACAATCAGGAGGCTGTGAGTTCGATCCTAGGTAGAGGCAGATATTTCTCTCTCTGGGCACATCTGCTGAACAAAACTCTGCATTGGCGACAGGAAGGGCTTCCGGCCAGTAAACACTCTGTTAGTTCCATTCAGTTGCCCAGACTCCACCCTGCAAGGGATTATGGGGTCATTAAAAGGAGATGATGATGAAAAGGGGAGGAAGATGAATTTGCTTTGCCCCAATGCCAGGATGTTTTCCCCAAATTCCCCAAGGACTCCAGTTGGGGGAAATTACAAAAGCTCCTTGCAACTCTGCCGCAAAAATTACGATCCCAAAGGCTGCGATGTTTTGGGCATCGTTGTCTGCCCTTCGGTGACTTCATCCCCCTCCATCCCTCCCCGAATGGAAGGCCTTACCTCCGGGCCACGTTGGCAAAATAACCTGCGCAAAGACACCTCCTTAGGATCTCGTTTTGGGAACCGTCAAAATCTTCCTTTAGGAAATCTGGCAGCTGGGGTACAAAATCCCACAGAGAAATGTTATTTTTATTGGGGTTAAAGAAAACTTATTTTGCTTAGGCCTTTTTCTTTTCTTTTCTTTTTTTTCTTTTTTGAGTGCCATTTTATAAAAATCATGACGATTATTTTAATTTTAGTATATTCTTTACTATGGACTTTTAAAAAAAAATATTATAGGTAATCCTCAATTTAGGATCAGAATTGGGACCAGAATTTCCAATATCAAGAAAGGCAGTTGTTAAGTGAGTTACATCCGAATTAGTAACAATTTTTGCCCGGTTACTAAGCGTATAATTGCAGTTGTTTAGTGAAAATGTGGTTGTTAAGTGAATCTGGCTGCTTGTCAGAAACCGGCTGGGAAAATTGCAGACGGAGCCAATGGAGCCAATTGCAGACGGAGCCAATGGATACATAGATGATCTCAGGTACACAAAGATGACAGATTGATGGAGATCTCAGAAGATGAAAGTTTGGGAAATAGAGGAGGAATGGGTGGACAGGTAATGATAGCTATCAAGCTAGAGAGAGACAGATAGGCAGACAGACAAACAGATATAAGTAGATAGATGATAGATAGATGGATAGATCGGATGGATCCATCCATCCATCCATTTATCTATCTATCTATCTATCTCTATCATCTTAGATGCATGCATGTACTGTATGTATGTATGCATATATGCATACAGTGGCTAGAGATCGATAGATCGATAGATTGATAGGTGGATGGATGGATGATAGATAATAGATAATGATAGATTAGATAGATAATAGATAGATGATAGATGATAGGTAGATAGATAGATGATAGAAAGATGGATGGATGGATGGATTGATGGATAAATGGATGGATGATAGATAGATGATAGGTACCGTGTTTCCCCGAAAATAAGACCCTGTCTTATATTTTTTGAACCTTGAAATAAGCGCTTGGTCTTATTGCCAGGCACTCAAAAGCCTGATTGGGCTTATTATCAAGGGATGTCTTATTTTGGGGGAAACAGGGTAGGTTGGTAGGTAGGTAGGTAGGTAGATAGATATGATAGATAATAGCTAGATGATAGGTAGGTAGATGATAGATAGATAGATATATAGATAGATGATAGATAGATAGATAGATAGATAGATAGATAGATAGATAGATAGATGGATGGATGATAGGTACTTATTTTCCCTGAAAATAAGACCGTGTCTTATATTTTTTTGAACCCTGAAATAAGCGCTTGGCATTATTGCCATGCACTCAACAGCCCAATTGGGCTTATTATCAGGGGATGTCTTATTTTGGGGAAAACAGGATAGGTAGGTAGGTAGGTAGGTAGGTAGATAGATGATAGATAGATTAGATTAGATTAGATTAGATTAGATTAGATTAGATTAGATTAGATAGATAGATGATAGACAGACAGACAGACAGACAGACAGACAGACAGAGATAGATAGATAGATAGATAGATAGATAGATAGATAGATAGATAGATAATAGGTAGGTAGATGATAGATAGACAGACAGACAGATATAGATTGATGACCTCAGATGATCTTAGAAGGAACAGATGGACAGATAAATCTCCAACGACATGAGATGGTCTCAGAATTGATAGAAGATCAAAGCAAGCAAGAAATGATCCAAGATCCATTGGCAAGCTTTGATTTACCTGTTTCAGCCTGTTGATGATTTCACGGAGCTGTCTTTCTACACTGAATGCCAGCTTCACAGCTCTCCAGTGAACCCAGTTTTCTTGACACCAAACCGAAGGAGACTCGCTGGAGAAAGAGCATCAAGACAGGAAAAGAAGTAAAATTATACTGTTTCCCACCCAGTAGAAAACACATCGGTTGCATTTTGCTGTAGCCCTGAGCCCAAAAGGAGCAGACGGTTTTAGACAAGACACAGTGGTGAAGAGGTAGCAGGCGCCAAACCAATATCAACATCTCAAATTAAAAACTCTCAAATTAAATACGAATCAGAGGTGGGTTTCAGCAGGTTCTGACCAGTTCTGGCGAACAGGTAGCAGAAATTTTGAGTAGTTCGGAGAACTGGTAGTGAACATTCTGACTGGCCCCGCCTCCATCTATTCTCTGCCTCCCGAGTCCCAGCTGATTGGGAGGAAATGGGGATTTTGCAGTAACCTTCCCCTGCCACGCGCACCAAGCCACGCCCACCAAGCCACGACCACAGAACCAGTAGTAAAAAAAATTGAAACCCACCACTGATACAAATGTTTTTAAAAGGTTTAAATCACATGAAGTGGCTTATTCTTACGGTGGCCCATTCTCTTGAGGCATATTTTGATGTCCTCATTTGCAAACTAAGGACGTTTCTTGGAAGATTTGGCCATTTTGTGAAAAAAATATCTATTTTAAAATATATGATTATGCCCTCAATATAAAAATAAAACCCAGAAGTAAAGATTTACAATGAGCCTTATTGGTTTGGTTTATTGTCCAGAAAGTAAGAAATTAATATTCAAAATCTTGGATGCCGAATATAAAAACTCCAGTATTCATTACTTAATGAATTTATTAAGGTGGAATCTGTAACAGTTGCTTAAATATTTTTTTTCAAGAAAAAGCTATAATGGTTCTTTTTATTCCCCTCAAAACATTTGACCTTGAAATATTCCAAATATCCATGCATTCTTATTATTGTTTGGAGACATTCCTATTTTGTCCTCTGCCTCATTCATATATCTGAATTTTCATTCATATTTCTGTAGCGTCGTTCTCATATATCTGAGCTTTCAAGGCACTTGAAAATATTAATGACCTGTTGCTTAACAATGGTGTGCCATGACAACTTGAACAAAGCGTACAGTTACAACTTCCAGCTCATCCAGATTTCCACTTTTTTTTGGTGGGGGGGCAAATTTCCCACCATCATATATCCCCATGAAAAATCCTCTACTACCAGCTTTCCACCACTTAGTATGGTGTTTTTACAAACTTAGCAGTTTTCAGAAGTGAAGACTTCAATTCCCAGAATTCCCCTGTCAGTCGTGCTGGCTGGGGAATTCTGGGAGAGGAAGTCCACCCATCTGGCTAAAAAATACTGATGGAACTCAACATATCTCAAAAGATGCTGGCTGGGAAGTGGAAATCTACCCATCTTAAAGCATGCTGGCTGGGGAATTCTGAGTGTGGAAATCCACTGGGCTAGAGAATTCTGGGAGATGAATTCCACACACCTTAAAGTTGCCAGGTTTGATAAACATTGATGATATAATTTTCCCGATAAGCAGATATGTGTTCCCCATCTCTACCTCCGCCCTTTTTGCTATCAACAGATTTTCTGGCTGGCTGAGGAATTCTGGGAGTTGAAGTCCACCAGTCTCAAAGTTCCCAAAGTTGAAACACCCTTGTTTTACACATCTACAGGACCTCGCTGCCAAGCAGCCTTGAGTGTCTTCCCAGGACTAAATATTCCTGGGCCAAGTTTTGCATTCAGCTTATTCTCAGAAGACTCTCTGGCTACCTTGCTTTGCATTGCTCAAAGATATTCAGGAGAGTGGTAAAGTCATTGCTTCCTCCCATTTGTAGAGAGAGCTGCTGGTGCCGTAGCTCAGCTTCCTTCTGCTTCTGTTCCTGCCCTAAGAAATATGGAAATTGGAATCATTTTTTTTCTTTTGTCCTTCGAAAAGCAAACTCACCGTCGTTCAAGAAACACTGGGCTGACTGCTAGCTTTTTTTAATAAACTTTCTACAGATAATACCATTTAAGAACTTCAGACACTTGAACAGTAATGGAGGTCATCTAGACCGGTGGCCCCCAACCTTGGGGGCACCAGGGACCGGTTCCGTGGAGAGAGGTTTTTCCGTGGACTGGAAGGGGTGTGGTTTCGCACGTGGTCTGCATCCCATGGATGTGGCTTTGCTTGTTTGCGTGCCCCAGTTTCTGGCATGCCCGGTGGTGGGCCACGGACCAAGCGTTGGGGACCCCTGATCTAGACCTCAAAATCAGATCCTTCAAGAGGCCAATTTTGATTTGATCATCGATAAATGTGCTTCAGAGAGTGTGAGAGCTGCCGGGCACTCTGAAACACGTTTCTAAACCGAATCTCAACATTTTCAAATTCCTAATCACAACCTGGTATATAGTTAGAAAACCAGTTTACAGTCCTTTTCCCCCCAAATTCTCTCTATAATTGTGATGCAACAGAGCCAGTTTGTAGATGCTGCGTCACCAATTTTATACCATCATATTTAAGGCTGGGTTTTAGATAGGGGTCTCCCTCCCTCCCTCCCTTCTTTTTTTAACACTCTCTTTTTGTTCTTTTTCTCTTTTCTTTTCTTCCTTCCTTCCTTCCTTCCTTTCTTTCTTTCCTTTTCTTTCCCTCCCTCCCTCCTTCCTCTTCCTCTTCCTCTTTTTCTTTCTTTTCTTTTCTTTTCTTTCCCTCCCTCCCTCCCTCCCTTCCTTCCTTATTGATGCCTTTGAAATTGGGTGTTGGAAAAGATTCCTGAGATGTCCAAGGATAAACAAGAACACAAACCAATGCATCATCAAATAAACCAATCCAGAATTCTTATGCAAAGCATATGTGACCAGGCTGAAATTATCCTACTTGATAATTATCCTACTTGATGTGAAGACCAAGCTCTCTAGAGGAAAGATAGAAGGAAAGAGAAGAAGTGAGTGACCAGCAGCAAGAGTAGAGGGACTCAAAATAGTAATGAGAAGACCTGAAGGACCAGGTTGGGGATAAATTATTATTAATACTTATTACATATTATACATTATTACTTGATTTTAATTATTATTATTTAGTTATAAATATTTATTAATAATTAACTTATTTTGAGAGACATTTTGGTTTAGTGGTTAAGGCACCAGACTAGAAACCGGGAGACTGTGACTTCTAGTCTCACCTTAGCCATGAAAGCTTGCTAGGCGACTTTGGGCCAATCACCAAGTGACTCTGAGTTCTAGTCCTGCCTTAAGCATGAAAGCCAGCTGGGGGACTTTGGGCCAGTCACTCTCTCTCAGCCCAACCTACCTCACAGGGCTATTGTGGGTAAAATAAGAAGAAAAAGGAATATTGTGTGTGTTCACTGATTGAGTTACTTATAAAAATGGGAAAGAAAGAGAGAGAAAGAGAGAGAGAGGAAGGAAGGAAGGAAGGAAGGAAGCAAGGCCATTTAAATTTTTTAAAATATAAATTCCTTTTTTGGATGGTAGAGAATCCCTAGAGTGGATCAGGCTTAATGTTTTCGTTTTTAATTTTTTTTTTCTGAAGAAGATTTAAGAGATAAAACAAAGGCATTAAACTATTTAAAAACTGTCTTCACATTTTCCAGAGGAGCAGTGAATCTCCTAACTCCAACATAATGACCACTTTTTTAAAAAACAAGATTCTTTCGCTTTATCAAGCATCATCAAGATTAGAGGGGAAAAATAAAGGACATTCACAGCACAAAACTTTCCAAGCCACAAATCTGTCTAGTAGTGACTTTTTGCTGCCAAAGACAACTATTCCAGAAAACTTTGCTGTTTGGCATTTTCTACTTCATATCATTTTTGAGGACAACGGAAATAAAGCTCAATAGGAACAGAAACATTCTGTGCAGGATAAAAGAAGGCGGTGATCCCCATAACTGTCCCCAATTAACCCCCACCAACCACTGAGGATGAAAGCAAGAGCAGACGAGATGCCACTCTAAGAACGGCTCTATCTTTTAGCCACTCCTGGCCTCACATCACTTTCCTGGAGGACTAATGACTGCTCAGTCATTAGTTAGACTAGGGTTATCCAATTCCCAGAATTCTCCAGCCAATATAGGGAATTCTGGGAGTTGAAGTCCACAGGTCTTAAAGTGGCCACAGTTGGACACTCCTGAACTAGACATCAGTCCACATTCAGACCAAATGCTAGCTAGATAGTAATGAAGGCCTTCACCTTAATTACTAACCTACAACAAGCCATGATTGCACATTGTGGTTAAGGAATTGCTCTGTAGTTACATGACCTGCCTTTAGATGTGGCAATCCAAACCACATCACTGGAAAACCTGAAGGACCATCTGGGGACAAACCATCTTGTAGAAAATGTATTTATGTGGTCACTAAAAGTTGACAGTGACGTGATGACCCCTAATCCATCAAAAATCAATCAAACGAAATCACATGACAGTTGACTTTGTTATTAGTCACAACCGAATGTGTAGTTTAGGAAAAGGGACTTTCAGAGAAAATAAAGTTACAGTCATGCTTTTGTTCTGGCTTCGCTGGTATTCCACAATGTAAAATAAGTGACGATAAATGGTGACAATTGTCCTGTTCAAAGCATCACAGGACCATCCATATATTTTGGCCAGAGAAACCAAAGAGGTCAAAAATTAACAGGTTACTAAGACCTTCATCTTTGGACAATCACCATGCATTTTTTTTTAAAAAAATAATTTTATTTATGATTTTTTTTCTTTAACATCCGTAAGTACTTGGTGAACAGTGTATTATCTGGGTCAATATACTTTGCATACAATTCTGATAATGATAATGATAATTATATTGATATTATAATGGTATTACCATTTAAATATACACAATCTTAATTTTTCAACTTCTAGCATTTCTGTATACGTAGTAATTATAATGTTATATGTTTCAGTATGCATAAGTTTTAATTTGTCTGGGCCAAAAAATTGTTTAATTTGATTTTATCTGGTTTTTTAATTTTTTTGTATTTATGTATTTTATTGTTTGGCTGTTCACCACCCCGAGTCCTTCGGGAGTAGGGCGGTATACAAATCAAATCAAATCAAATCAAATCAAATCAATCAATCAATCAATAAATAAATAAATAAATAAATAAATAAATAAATAAATAAATAAATAAATAATACTATTTTCCCAATTTCTACTTTCTACTTCTTTTTTGTAACACTTACTAAAATAACCGCCATCTTAAAAAATATTCTATATCGATCCATCATCTCTTGGCCTTTTTAGAATTTCAACTCCTATTAACTTTTTGGTGAATCTTTCCTGCTTCTCCATCACCATGCATTCTGCGGTGTTCACTCATTTGCAACTGGAGTCGTTGACTTAAAAACACTTTCTAGATCTTCGCTTTCCTGGGTGCCTGGTTCTAGATATCCATTTTCCTAGATGTTTGATCCTAGATCTCTGCTTTCTCGGAAGCCTGATCCTAGATCTCCACTTTCCTGAAAGCCTAGCCCTAGATACAATACCTGTTTTCCTGGAAGGTTCATTCTAGATCTCTGCTTTCCCAGAAACTTAGTTCTAGACCTTGCTTTCCTGGAAGCTTCGTTCTAGATCTCTCCTTTCCCAGAAGCTTCACTCTAGACCTTGCTTTCCTGGAAGCTTCGTTCTAGACCTTGCTTTCCCGGAAGCTTCATTCTAGAACCTTGCTTTCCTGAAGCTTCATTCTAGATCTCTGCTTTCCCAGAAGCTTCATTCTAGACCTTGCTTTCCTGGAAGCTTCGTTCTAGACCTTGCTTTCCCGGAAGCTTCATTCTAGACCTTGCTTTCCTGGAAGCTTCATTCTAGATCTCTGCTTTCCCAGAAGCTTCATCTAGACCTTGCTTTCCTGGAAGCTTCGTTCTAGACCTTGCTTTCCCAGAAGCTTCATTCTAGACCTTGCTTTCATGGAAGCTTCATTCTAGATCCCTGCTTTCCTGGAAGCTTCGTTCTAGACCTTGCTTTCCTGGAAGCTTCATTCTAAATCCCTGCTTTCCCAGAAGTCTGGTTTCATGACCATCTCTTCCCACAGAACACATGTGGTGGTGACTAATGAGGTTCCAACCATACCACACCAGGATAAAATGTGGGTCTTGACAGGGTAACCACCAGCCATTGCCACCATCCCCCAAACCCACCGGCTCTCACCTGGATGAATGAAGACCTTCTCCACAGACAACATGGCCGCAATGGGGAGCAGCAAGTCATCACAGCCCAGAGAGGCAGCCTTGAGGACGGCACAGGACAAGTTAGGAGGCAGAGGAAGCCAAACCATGAGCTGGCCCAATTTGGTCACATGACCTTGCCTACCATTTGAAGATGGGAGAGAAGATTCGTGAAGGATTATATTCTTCAATTAAGTGGCTCACACAAGATATTCAACTATCACCTAGGGAAGGTTAGCTCACAGTGTGACTTGGGATATCCTATTAAGCTTATCAATGAGGGAGATGACCTGACTGAGCCCAAGGGAGAGGTCAACCATGTCATCAATCTTAAGCCCCTTCGAACCCACAAGAGATCTACCATGAATTCCATTCATTCTTTTTTTTTTAATTTCACGTTTTATTTGCAGTTTTCCTTTCACCCCATACATATTTTGTGGACAGTGTATTGACTGGGTCAATGTCCTTTTTAAACAATACTAACAATAATAATAGAAATAAGTATTCATAATCCTAATCTTTCAACGTCAACAAATACCATTCTCTCTTTATAACTCTTTATCATTTTTTCCCATTAATTCATTTAAACATAAATAACATTTCTTTGCACCATGTATTTGTTTTCATGAGTCACTAATATTTAATATTTTAAAAATTACTCATTATCCTACCATAATTTCAATATCCCAAATGTCCAGGACTACTAATAAAACCAAATATTAACAATATTTAATCAATCCTGGGATGATATCTCAAAGTCCCCACAATTTCTAATCCTTATAGGTTTAAATTCACAATATATTTTAACACACTGTTAATATTCATAATACAATTAAATTACCTAATCCTAAACTTCCACCTTCTAACCTTAGCTTATTTTTAATTATAGCAAATTCTATTATCTGTTAGTATGTATGTTACTATTTTGAATTCCGTTCATTCTTATCTCCCGCCAATTTGCTTTGACTGTTAGTAGTTCAGATTCTTGTAGATGGCATGAACTTGCAATAAAACTTTTATATTCATTTGAACTGCCCGGATTTCCTTGATTTTGATTTTCCCAAGCTTGCCAATCAAGATGTATTTCTTTGAAAGCTCCCCAGTACAAATAATAAAGTTTACCTGTCAATTGCTCCACATTGATAGAGCTGCTTAAGGGCGACTAGAATGTGCTTCTCATCTGGATGGTCCAAATATGGAAAGCTGTTAAGAGCAAAGAAGATTGATTGATTGATTGATTGATTGATTGATTTATTATGTAATTTATATGCCGCTCTTCTCCCGAGGGACTCAGGGCGGCTTACAAAAGGATCATAAAAAATTACATAAACATTAAAATCAGTTTAAAATTGATTAAAATAAATTCAAATTCAATTTTTTTAAAAAAATCACCCCTACGGATTCAGCCCATTTGGTGAAAAAGCCACGTCTTCAATTCGCGGCGGAAGGAGAAGAGGTCAGGGGCTGTCCTGAGGCCGGTGGGCAGTCCATTCCAGAGGGTCGGCGCTCCCACAGAGAATGCTCTCCCCTTGGGGGCCGTCAGCCGACATTGTCTGGCTGACGGCACCCTGAGGAGGCCCGCTCTGTGTGAGCGCACCGGACGATGGGAGGATGGCAGGAGATGATCCTGCAGGGACCCCGGGCCTAAGCCATGTAGGGCTTTATAGGTGAGCACCAGCATTTTGTCAAAATGACTTTGACAAAGGTGTACAGGAACTGTTACCTAAAAGGGACTGAAATTTTTAAAATCCAGAGTAATGGGATAACATTTGGAAGTGATTCAGGCAGACCCCTCCCTAATTCTGGCAGCAGGAGGAGGAGGACTGTGGGGTCCTTACTGTTCTCTGAGCTTGGTAGCTTTCTTGCAATTTTCATTACCAAACTAGGTAACATCATCAGTGCTAGAAGGGAGTGGGATATGAAAAGGAGGAGGAGGAGGAGGAGGGGAGGGGGAGGACTGTTGAGTCCTTGGTATTCTCTGAGCTTGGTTGCTTTCTTGCAGATGTTTTATTACCGAACTAGGTAACATCATCAGTACTAGAGGAGGAGGAGGAGATGCAGCACAATCAGGCTTGTAAACTTCTGTTACTATAGCCATATTCAGCAAAATTAGTTTTAATCTTCCTTTGGTGGAGCTGACAAAACCAACGTGGAAATCAATAAAAGCACAATCCGATTCACGTAGGCTGGGCAAAATTCCTGTTTGAAAAAAACACAATCTCCAAATGCAGGTAAGCCTCATCTTACAACCATTCATTTAGTGACTGGCTGAAGTTACAATGGCACTGAAAAAAAGAGAGTTAAGATCATTTTTGCTTAACGCATTGTAAGCCGCCCTGAGTCTCCGGAGAAGGGCGGCATATAAATCAAATTTTTTTTAAAAAAAAATTTCACTCATGACCAGCAACCCCATGGTCAGGTGATAAAAATTCAGATGCTTGGCAACTGGCTTCTATTTATGACCGTTGCTGTGTCCTGAGGTCATGTGATCCCCTTTTGCGACCTTCTGAACAAGCAAAGTCAATGGGGAAGCCAGATTAAAAAGAGCCTTGGTAGCGCAGCAGACTAAACTGCTGTTAAAGTAGCACTTAGCTGCCAGCTGCCTGCAATTACTGCTAATTCAATTCTTGCCAGGCTCAAGGTTGACTCAGCCTTCCATCCTTCCGAGATAGGTAAAATGAGGACCCGGATTGTGGGGGCAATAAGCTGACTTTGTATAAAAAAGAACACCGCTTAGGGGGGGCCAAAAGCCCTACTAAGTAGGTATATACAAAGTATGAAGGCTATTGCTTAACGCGTTGTAAGCCGCCCTGAGTCTCCGGAGAAGGGTGGCATATAAATCAAACTAATAAATAAATAAATAAATAAATTCACTCTACAACCGTGTTACCAACGATTGCAGTGATTCACTTAACAACTATGGCAAGAACTGCAGTGATTCCCTAAACAACTATGGCAAGAAAGGTCACAAATTGGGACAAAACTCACTTAACAACCATCCCGCTTAGCAATGGAAGTTTTGGGCTCAGTTGTGATTGTAAGTCGAGGACTACCTGTGTAACAGTTTCCCCTTCTCTTCCCCAACAACAATCTTACAGGGTAGGCTGGGCAGACAAAGAACAACAGAGAGCCAATAGGAACAAGTCTCGCTTTGGTGCTAGGTCAGCATTTGAAGAACGAGAGTCCATGCCAAGGATTACCTGATGACATTGTGGATGGCCAGGCACTTCAGAGTCAGCATCACGGATGTCAAACTGGTCCGTTTGATCTCTGGAACCATGTGGTCCGGCATGCACTCTTCCCAGAATTCCTTGTTATATACCCGGAAGCATTTCCCAGATGCCGTTCGACCGGACCGGCCTGCGCGTTGCACTGCCTCACTCCTAGAGTTGGCACATGGAAAACAGAAAAATCTCAGCTACTTATTAGCTAAATGTCTATGCAGATTCTCAGTCATCCAGGTCCTGGTTGTCCCAAAGGTGCTTTTTCAGGAGGCAACTGGACTTTCTGGTTTTTTCTTTTGAAGACGTTTCGCTTCTCATTCAAGAAGCTTCTTGAGTTTTGACTGGATGGTGGGGAAATGGAAGGATTTATATTTCTTGCAGACAGCTGGTCATTTGCATTCTTTTAGCAAGTCATTAAGGTCACCTGGAGATTGCTGTCTGCAAGGAATATAAATGTCAGAACTGAAGAAGCTTCTTGGAGGAGAAGTGAAACGTCTTCAAAGAAAAAACAAGAAAGTCCAGTGGCCTCCTGAAAAAAAGCACCTTTGGGACAACCGTGACCAGGATGACTGAGAATCTCTACAGACTTTTAGCTATGCAATTTGAGATAAACACCCTTTGAATGGTGTGAGAGTATGAACGGATTTCCAAAAAAATTGCAGACTACAGGAACCATTTTCACTAGTGACCCTGAGGACACCAATTAACCTCCAGGTGACCTTAATGACCCGCTAAAAGAATGCAAATGACCCGGTGCCTGCAAGGAAAATAAATCCTTCCATTCCCCCACCATCCAGTCAGAGCTGAAGAAGCTTCTTGGATGAGAAGCGAAACGTCTTCAAAGAAAAACCAGAAAGTCCAGTGGCCTCTTGAAAAAGCACCTTTGGGACAACCAAGACCTGGATGACTGAGAATCTCCATAAATAGAAGCTCCAGTCTGTATTGTGGTCGTAAGTTGAGGACTACCTCGATGCAAAGCTAAATAAAGATTTCCATCAGACTTACTTCGAAATTGGCACCACCTCCAGCACATCCAAGCCAACTCTTGGGTTGTGGTTTAGCTGCTTCACAAACCCACTATCAACCACATACCTGGAAAAAAAAAGGAAGACAGAAATGTAAGTCTTTACCAAACTGGGGGCACCCCTATGCAGGTAGTCCTCAACTTACAACATGATTTAGTGACCATTCGGAGTTACACCACCACTGAAAAAAGTGACTTAGGACCATTTTTCACACTTACAAACCTTTACAACATCCCCATGGTCACATGATTTACATTTGGATGCTTGACAACTGACTCGTACTTATGACGGTTGCGGTGTCCCTGGGTCATGTGATCCCCTTTTGCGACCATCTGACAAGCAAAGTCAATGGGGAAACCAGATTCACTTAACAAATGTGGCAAGAAAATGGGGCAAAAATTACTTAACAAATTTCTCACTTAGCAACATAAGCCGGCCTAGCCTAAATGGTTTTTAATGGGATTTTAATTTTATAGATTGGGGTTTTAAATTGGGAGGCCGATTGATTTAATCTCTTTTAATTATCTTAACTTTTGTATTCTATGTATTTTAATTTTGGCTGTCCACCGCCCTGAGTCCCTTCTGGGAGAAGGGTGGTATACAAATTAAATTAATAAATAAATTAATAAATAAATAAATTCTGGGCTCAGTTCTGGTCATAAATCAAGGACTACCTGTATGTTCGCCACCTTGGGTTATCTATATAAATAATAAAGGTGGGATACAAATAAAAATAATAATAAATAACTTCTAGACATTATTTAAAGCTATAAAAAAAACACAAGATCCTCAACCTGGAGTTTCAATTTAGCACCCAGGGCTACCAATGTGATTGCAGAGCTCTCCCTTGGTCTCTGCAAGGCTTCACGTCTTACGACCGTCATAACCTACGAGCATAATTCCCAGACTCTATTGCAAGCAGTCCTCGACTTATGACCACATTTGCCCACAAAACTACTGTTGCTAAGCAAGACAGTTGTGGAGTGAGTTTTGCCTCATTTTACAACTTTTCTTGCCATCGTTGTTAAGTGAATCACTGCAGACATTAAGTTATAACATGGTTGCTAAGTGAGTCTGGCTTCCCCCATTGCCCCATTTTACAACCTTTTTTGCCACAGTTGTTAAGGGAATCACTGCAGTTGTTAAGTTAGTAACACGGTCGCTAAGTGAATCTGCCTTCCCCATTGAGTTTGCTTGTCAGAAGGTCGCAAAAGGGGATCACATGACCCCGGGACTCTGCAACCGTCATAAGTATGAGCCAGTTTGCCAAGCATCTGATTTTTGATCACATAACCATGTGGGGATGCAGCCACTTAACGGTTGTTAGGTGTGAAAAATGGTCATAAGTCACTTTTTTCAGTCCTGCTGTCCATTCAAACAGTCACTATAAATATCTCAAGGACTACCTGGATTAACCCATAACCACAGACCTGCAGTCATAGTGACCGCAACGGTTTTCCAAAATGTTTGGAACACCCCTATTTTTAGAAATGGACCATTCCGGTTGCGAATAGCTTTTGTTTTCCCACCAATAAGAGCGTATGCAGCATCGCGCTTGCGTGAGTGATTTGGTGTTTTCTGTAGCGGCATTTGATTTTGAGTTTCGGTCATTATGACAGCGGATCTTTGTTAGTGTATTCTTTTTTTATGATGCCGGGGCCACGTTTTCTGCTAAAAAGAGTGCAATTTGGTGATCCAAACTTCGAAGAAACTGTTCTAAAATGGTATGGAGAAGCAGAGAGTGATCTGAGTGAAGTGGAATCCGATTGACACAAAAATTTTGCAATGGACGATGAGGAATCCGCCACGGCCGCTGATTCTGACATCAGCGATGATGAAGCTCCCAATGAAATTGATGACCAGGCATAAGCTACGTCGTGCAATAATTTATATGGCAAGAATAAATTCGAATGGTCTTCTGCACCTTTGTTGTGGCTTGTACTCAGCCTGTGCAGCTAGTAGCTGATTCCGACAGCGAGGAGGCTGGTGTGGTGCTGCACCAGCAGCCTATGCAGCTGGCACTCGAGTCGGACAGTGAGGAGGCTGGAGAAGATGTGGTGCCAGAGGCGGGGATTCAGCCAGGACCTTCAGAACCTCCAGAAGCTTCCATGGGTGAAGAGGAAGAAGAGGAGGAGCCTCTTCTCGATGCACAGGCACGCAGAGCTGTTAAAAGGCAGGAGTGGAGGAGGATGTTTTCTCGAGAGTAAGGCTTGGGGCTAATTGGCCACTCCCTTACCCTATTTAAGGAGGAACGCTGACTGAAGCAATTTGCAGGGAACAACTTCGTTCACATACCTTCATGTCTTGTCTTGCTTATCTTATCAGCTTCCTGCAAATTGCTTTTGGGCATTCTGCCAACAATAGTAAGCTTTCAGTTATTATTCTTTGAATTCTTGGCGGCTCTTAATGCAATTAATTAACAGCCGTTGTTGTAAAAGACTAGTTTATTTAGTAAACTAAGGTTTGAACGGACTTTGTGTGTGCTGCGTTCTTTGGGGTCCGTAGCTGAGGCAGAACAATCTTTTGGAAGCAATAGATCCAGAACAGAATAGTCACAATATTATTGTGCAATTACCTGAACTTCGGCCAGCAGCTAGAAATCTCGGAAATTCACCTACTCCCCTAGAGATTTGAAAATTATTATTTTCTAAAGAAATGATTAGTGCCATCATTCAGTGGACCCAATGTGAAAATGAGAGAAGAAAGATTGAAGTTCAAGGATGGAGAAACAAAAAGTGACCGGCACGATGTGGATTTGATACAGATCAATACATTTTTTGGTTTACTGCTCTATACATCAATTTTTAAATTCAACCATGAAAACATTGAACGTCTTGCTATATAATTAATTGATTTTTATTAAGATGTTGGACTGTAGTATTTGGAATAAGATTTAAGGTAATGTATGGCATAAAACAATTTGGTTTATTGTTTTTATAAGAAATGAATGATTTTAACACTACATAATTGATTTTTATTAAGATGTTGGATATTGAAATAACTGATAATGGAAAATATTAGTGATTATATTAAGGGAATATAAGGAAATACTAGGAATTATATTATGTCAGATTTTAAACTTAAGAGGTTTAATATAGAGATTAAGGGAAAAATTGAATTTGGTTAAGACTAGAGGTTAGGATGAAGGGTAATATTGGTCTATTAAAAAAAATAGAGAGAGAATAAATACTATGGCAAAAAGGGAATATATAAATTGTGTTGAAATGACTAAAAATTGTCTAAATTTGTGAACTGGCCAATACTCTGTTCAGAAAAAATACATTGTATGTTTGTTTGTTTGTTTGTTTGTTTGTTTAAAAAATTAAAAAAAAACTTTTTTTTTTAAAAAAGAAGAAAACATCGAATGTCTTTTTGCTACTGAGGTCATTATGATTTCACGTCTGTTAATAGCGTAGCCGAAATAGTACGCCTGTGGTTAAGGGTTAAACAGCTCCAGAGTTCAGCCACAAAGCCCAGATCAAAATCCCCAGAACTCTTACTTGATCCCATCGATGGTTAAAGATGTGGCTGCGATATTTGTGGACACGACACATTTCCTGATCCCTGGCGGAGGCGGCACGAAGATCTGTCTTTGCTGATCTAAGCGACAAAAACAGGGTCAGAAAAATACCAATTTCTGAACTGGTTTTCCCAAGATTAAAAGCAAAACCTGGTTAAATTAGACCCCACCAGAGACCAGCAGCAGCCAGGCTACAGAGCAAGGAGCGTCTGACCTGGACTACAACTGCCATCATTCCCAGCCAAGACAAGTTGGAAGATATTGGGAACTGTAGTCAAGCATATGAAAAGGCAGCAAGAATGGGATTTCTCTTTTCATAGAATCATAGGACTGGAAGGGACCTCGGAGGTCTTCTAGTCCACCCCCACCCCCACCCAAGGCAGGTGACTTTATACAATCCCATTTAAATGGTGGTCCGGTCTTTTTTTTTCAAAACCTTCCACTGATGGAGTACCCACAACTCTGGGGGCCAAATGAGATTTGAAAAAAAAGGCTAAGGAAAAATATTGTCATGACGTTTTACAGAATGCTGAAAAATGCAGAAGAAAGTAAGGACTCACTCTGAGAAAATCGAGATATATGCAATAAAAGTAGTTTAATCAAAAGAAGGACTAGGGGAGACATGATAGCCATGTTCCAATATCTCAGGGGCTGCCATAAAGAAGAGGAAGTCAAGCTATTCTCCAAAGCACCTGAAGGCAGGACAAGAAGCAACGGGTGGAAACTCATCAAGGAGAGAAGCAACCTAGAACTAAGGAGAAATTTCCTGACAGTGAGAACAATTCATCAGTGGAACAATTTGCCTCCAGAAGTTGTAAATGCTCCAACACTGGAAGTTTTTAAGAAGATGTTGGGTAACCATTTGTTTGAAGTGGTGTAGGGTTTTCCTGCCTAAGCAGGGGGTTGGACTAGAAGACCTCCAAGGTCCCTTCCAACTCTGTTATGCTCACCTGTTGGCATGCAGCCATACAATGGCAAGATAAGTAAGCCATCCACGGAGTGATCTCTTACGTCAAAGCGGTAATCTATCATTTCGGCTTTCTGGAAGAGAAGCTCGCAAGCTCTTTCGATCTCCGATTGCCCTAGTGTGAAACCACAAACTCATTTAAGATATTGTTCTGAGGAACTGAGGGAAAGGCTACAGGTAATCCTCGACTTGCAACTGTTCGTTTAAGCAATCGTTCGAAGTTACAACGGCACTGAAAAAAAGGGACTTGCAACTGGTCCTCGCACTTATAACCGTTGCACCATCGCCACGATCACGTCATCGAAAATTGGATGCTTGGCAACTGGCATGTATTTATGACGGTTGCAGCACTGTCCCAGGGTCATGACATCACCGTTTCCCACCTTCCCGGATAGCTTCCGACAAGGAACGTTAATGGAGGAAGCCCGATTCACTGAATGACCACGTGATTCACTGAACGGCAGCCGTTCGCTTAACAACCACGATAAAAAGGTTGTAAAATTGGTCATGATTCACTGCACAACCTCTTTGCTAGCAACGGAAACTCTGATCCCAATTGTGGTCCTAAATCAAGGACTACCGTGTTTCCCTGAAAATAAGCCCTTCCCCGAAAATAAGCCCTCCCCTGAATATAAGACCTCCCCAAAAATATTTCAATGCACACGCAGCCAATCCCCGCCATTTCCTCTGGTTAGGGTTAGGGAGACAGAGCTGGAAATCAGGTAAGACTGCAAGAGGAGCCCCATCTTGCTCCACACGTCCCAAATTAATAAGACCTCCCTGAAAATAAGGCCAAGCGCTTATTTTGGGGTTCAAAAAAATATAAGACAGGGTCTTATTTTCGGGAAAACACGGTACCTGTATTCCAAGGGAAGAGACAGCAAGCTTAAACAAAAGAAGATGAAATATTTTACATATGAACAACCTGAATGCTTCAGCTTATTCGTGTTGTGCTAACAGGCATCATAAAGGAAATACAGGAAGTTCTCGACTTATGGCGGCTGCTCACGGTTATGATGGGCCAACCCCCTAAAGGTACTGAAGACCCAATTTTGAGATTACGACAACTGAACACAGACACCCCATAGTTATGCGATTCCTTTTTGGGCACCTGGCAACCGGCTCACCTATACAACCATTTGCAGTGTCCCGTAGTGATGTGAATATCCAGTTTCCAGCCTGGACTTCTGATTTCTAGCCATAAATATCCATTGGGTATAATTAATTTGCTTAATGACCGCCACATTCATTTAATGACCATGGTGTTTACGTAACAACCACCACAAGATTTTTTTTAAAAAAAATCAAGTTTGGTCAAGTGGTGACCTATGTAATACCCATAGTGACTTATGACCGTCATTCCAGGTTCAGTTATGGTTTAACTCAGTTTCTTAAACTGGGTTGTTTAAGTCAGAGGTCCCCAACCGGTGGGCTGTGAGGGGGTTGCAATCGGGCCGTGGAAGCATCCCTTCTCCCCTCCCCCCACCTGTCCACAAAGCTGGAAACATTGGGGAACTCTGGTTTAAGTCAAGGACTACCTACAGTAGTGGCCAAAATTGTGGAAACCTTTTGGGAAAAGTGTATTTTTGAGGTTTGATGTCTAATAACACCACTTTTTGGGGGGAGTTTCAAGATAACCCTATTCCACTGCTGGAATGGCCTGGGAATAGCCCAGACCTTCACCCAATTGAAAATCTAGGGAGCCGACTAAAGAAACTTGTTAGTCAGAAACGACCCAACAATAAAACCCAGTTAATAGAAGCCATCATTCCATCTTGGTTTCACATGAGAACAGCTGCAGAACTAAAAGACTTGGTTCACTCCATGGGAAGACGTTGTAAGGCCATAATTCATGCTAAAGGTTATCCAACTAAGGATTAACTGACATGGTGATAATTTTTGTGTCAGGTTTCGATGTCGTCTCAGATAAAACAAATTGCATTTCCAAACAGATAGTCTTTGAAGAAATCTTTCATTTTATTTAGCACGACAATCTGTCCCCGATCATGGCATAGCCAACTCTGACTTCCTGACCCCAAACCTTCCCTTTCCGTTCCCCAATTCTCTGCGTCTCATTGGCCTTCTTCCAAATCACTCTCCCCATATCTACTACTTAAGCTCCCAGGAATGTCCCCCCTCCCATCTCATCTCCTAGGGGATATTATGTTCAAGGAAAATAAGTAGGCGAAATGTCAAGCGTCCTCTTGCCAGCTGCCCCCTCTTCTCCTTCTTATGTCAGCACTAGAGTAAATGCAGGTTGAAGTGCTGACATTTTGTATATCACGTTTTTTTCTATTGTGATCATCTTTGTATATCTCGTTTTTTCTACGTGTTTCACTTTTCTTCTTTCTACTGTAACTGCTATTCTAATAGCAAATCCTTCATAAAACTTATTGCATTACATTCTGGATTAAACTATCTTTCCATTGATACACAATTTTATGGTACTACTTCAAAAAAAAAAGTGGTGTTATTAGCTAGTTTTAGAAAATACACTTTTCCCCAATTTTGGCCACTACTGTATATAGGAAGGAGTTAGTGATTCTCCACAGGGTAACATCAAACTTGGGAGCAGAGAAACACTTACCTGTCAGAAAAACCAGGATGTCTCCAGCCGAGCAGTTCAAATGGACATCCAGGGTCACTTTGATAGTCTGAAACAAACAATGCTAAGAGTTTTTAGGAGGAACTCACGTGCAACATTTTTTTCCCCCACACTGTGCTAACTACTACAGTTATTTACAGTTCTTAGAAACACAGCTGAAAAATTGAAAATTCTCTTGCTAAGCAAGGCAGTTGTTAAGTGAGTTTTGCCCCATTTTACGAGCTTTCTTGCCATGTGAAGCGAATCATGGCCGTGGTGTAGTTAGCAACGTGGTTGTTGAATGAATCCGGCCTCCCCACTGACTTTGCTTGTCAGGTCATAAAAAGTGATCACATGATCTCGGGACACCGCACCCGTCATAAATATGAGTCAGTTGCCAAGCGTCTGAATTTTGATCACGTGACCATGGGGATGCTGCAACGGTCATAAGTGTAAAAACCGATCATAAATCATTTTTTTCAGTGCCGCTGTAACTTCAAACGGTCACTAAATGAATGGTCGTAAATCAAGGACTACCTGCATTGTAAGGTTACATTAACAGAATCTTGCATATCTGGAAGAATAAATTTCCTTTCATCTTTTTTACAATTTCAAGAACTGTGCGTGTGTGTGTGCGCGCCCCTTCTGAGTTTTCTCCACCCTTTATGCAGCTGTGGGCTCCCCTTCCTCTTATCTGATTGTGCTCTAGGCCTGTTGTGACCCCGGCCCCGGAGGCTGATTTATCTTCGCATGCTGATTCAGAGGATGATATGGAGGAGGAGGAAGCTGTCACGAGCTATGTGCCGGAGGGGCCGTCTTCACTGGTGAGTCAGCAAGAACTGACAGTTGCTGATGTGCCTATGGACCCCAACCAAAATGAGGAGGAAACAGAGGCCGGTAATGACGAGGGGGAGCCCCTATTGGATGCAAGAGAGAGACGTAGGAGACGTCGTAGAGAACAGCTATTGCCACGCCCTAAGAGGTGCGGTCAGGAGACGAAGGGCCACACCCTACAAAGTATAAAAGTGGTGGAAGGCATGGTGAACAATTTGTTGGCGTTTTGGATGCAGTGGAGTTACAACTGTTAGTTTGGAGTTTTTGACAAGAGTCTGCATTCCTGCATTAGCCTGCTGGCTGTCTGCCAAGACTTTTGGAACATTGCCTGGTAACTATTGGACTGATATATGCTTTGGAAGAGAACTATTGATTAAAGGGCCAGCTTCAGTCTCTCTAGCCTGCGTTTGTTACTGCCGGGCTATTTGAGCCTCTGCAAGGCCACTCATCGGAGGGGACAGAACAAGGACAGCAGTCCCCAACTTTTCCAGATTGGAGGTCCGGTCCAGTGCTGGGGAGGGGAGGCGTGTGAGTGGCAAGCGCCCATGCCCACCGCAAGTGGCGCATGTACACACTCGCTCTGCTCACACGATTGGAGTTTTGTACATGAGTGGAGGACGGTGCTTGCACTTGTGTGAAGTTCCACTCGCACGAGCAGCAGACACTTACACTCGTGCACGAAGCTCCCCTTGCACAAGCGGAGGGTGCTTGTGTTCATTCACAAAAGCTCCACTCACATGAGCGTGAGCACCCTCCACTCACACAAACGGAGCTTCACGTTTGTGAGCTTGCCTGCCCCTCATGCAAAGGGAGCTTCATGTGTGTGTGCTTGCCCGTTTCTCCCGTGGCCCAGTTTTCAACAGGCCGCAGCCTGGTAGTAGGCTGCGGCCCGGGAGTTGGGGCCCCTTGCTCTAGTCTAGACAACATCTCTTTGCCTACTCTATCCCTGTCTCCCAAGATCAGGGGTGTCCAACTCAATTTCATTGAGGGCCACATCAGGACTGTGGTTGACCTCAGGGGGGCAGGGGGGCGTGGCCGCCTGGGTGGGCGTGGCCATCTTGACACTACTCACTGGGCGTGGCCAACTGAATAGGCGTGGCCAACTGGGTGGGCATGGCCAGCTTGATGCCACTTCCCAAATTACTGGCATGTTTCCTCTTCGCATTGGGCAGACCAGGCCGATGCGATGCGGGCCGGCCCCTTACATTTTCCAGGACGGGCTCGCGGGCCAGATCTGACCCACAGGCCTTGTGTTTGACACCCCTGCCCAAGATCATTCACATATACCGTACAAGAGATGAGATGATTTCCCTTCCAGAAACAAGGCCTAGACACCAAAGTATTGAAGTATCCCTTCAATAAGGAAACACAGTGGTTTTGGGAAGCTTGTTCAATCTTCAGAACACTTGCCAAGTTTTATCCTGGCTTTGATACAGCGCTCCAGGGATTCTATATGTATATAAAAATGGATGTATGTGTGTGTATGTTCCAGCATAACTCTGGAACGCCTTGAGCAATTTCAACCAAACTTGGTACACAGATGACTTACTCTCTGGAAAGAAATACTGTGGGGGTAAGACACTCCTAACACACCTCGGGGGCGTGTTCTGTTAAGATATAGCCTGTTGTGCCTTAAAATGGCTTCTACTGGACTGCCTTAAAATGGCTTCTACTGTACAGCACAGTGGAGTTGCCATCTTAACGGTTTTTCAGTACTCCACAAGGGGGCTCCTTCTGGTAAGGGGGAAAATCCAACATTGGAAATTATGTTTATTCTTGAGGACAAATAATCAAGATCAGAAAAAAGCATATCAAATGATCATGGATCAACTAGCAAAACAACAAAGTGGTATCATTTTACTATCCTAATACAGGATTGGGATAAATAAATACATGGGCAACGCCGGGTTATCAGCTAGTTCCTTATAAAAAACCTGGCTTTATGGAACTTTATGGAGCCTTGATAGTACAGTGGTTTAGTGCACCCTGTTATTAACACAGCTGCCTGCAATTTCTGCTGGTTCGAATCTCTCCAAGGCACAAGGTCGACTCAGCCTTCCATCCTTTCTAAGGTAGGTAAAATGAGGACCCAGATTGTGGGGGCAATAAGCTGACTTTGTATAAATATACAAAAGGATGAAGGCTATTGCTGAGCGCATTGTAAGCCGCCCTGAGTCTCCGGAGAAGGGCGGCATATAAATCAAATTAAAAAAAAAAAAAAAAACTTGATTCTAATAAATACAATACCCTGTTTCCCCGAAAATAAGACCTCCCCGGATAAAAAGCCCAATCAGGCTTTTGAGCACATGCACTAAAATAAGCCCCCCCTAAAAATAAGCCCTCCCCAAAATTATTTAACTGCATGCGCAGCCAGTCCCCGCCATTTCCTCTGGTTAGGATTAGGGAGACAGAGCTGGAAATCAGGTAAGACGGCAAGAGGAGCCCCATCTCGCTCCACGCGCCCCAAAATAATAAGACCTCCCTGAAAATAAGGCCAAGCGCTTATTTCGGGGTTCAAAAAAATATAAGACAGGATCTTATTTTCGGGAAAACACGGTATAAGCATATCTTACACTTTAACCCATTATGATTATTTTGAAAAACTAGTGGCCGTTTCTGATTCTTTTCTGCTTAATCTTTCAATAAAGGTTACTCAGTTGGAAACTGGAAAAGGTTTTAAGGCTTTCCTGCAGCTTCTTTGTCGTATCCATGTTCCAAACGATATGTAGTTTTTCGGGGGATTAAAGGAAAGCTGTAGAAATACAGACTAATCCTACTCAAAAAGGTGAAAGAATTGGGCATCGGGCACAAGAACTCAGATTATACCTTTTTAGTAATCTTAGATACTGACAATTTATTGGTTTCTGCAATGGAACCAAGAGCGGGGTGTGTGCCAAAAAAGAAAAAGAAAGAAAGAAAAGTCAAAAAGGCAGCCACGACCCATGGAGCTTGGTGGTCTCTGAGCTTGGCTGTTTGCTTGCAGGCATTTTGTTTCCTGACTAGGTAACGTCATCAGTGCTAGTGAGTGTGGTGTTTTCTCCCTAATTAGATACACAGTTTGCTCTGCCAATGTTGATGGGGGAGTGTAGTTTGCTCCTCAATCTCACAACGCATGGACAAACTCAACCACAGTTTCATCTGAGAAACTGCAAGCATTCTAGACCTAGACCAGTGATGGCTAACCTTTTTGCCGTCGTGTGCCAAAAGCGGCGGGAGCGCGCCGGGGGGGGTTTTTCACACACGTGCTTGCTCACACCCATAATTCAATGGTGCCCCTGCGCCCCCGCGCATGCGCACACGACCCCCCGCGCTCAACCCGCTTTTGGCATGCGACAGCAAAAAGATTACCAGTAGGCCCATTTTTTACCCTCCCCAGGCTCCAGAAGCTTTCTTGGAGCCTGGGGAGGGCAAAAACAGCCTTCCCCAACACCCCGGAGGCCCTCTGGATGCCAGAAACGGGCCGTTTCCCAACTTCCGGTGGGACCGGAAGGCCCGAAAACTAGCTGGCCAGCGTGCGTACGCGCACTGGAGCTGAGCTAGTGCAACGCTCACGTGCCCACAGATATGGCTCTGCATGCCATAGGTTTGCCATCATGGACCTAGAGTAGACCAAGCTAAATCCTAAAACGCTTGAGAATTCATGGAAGAATTCAGACAAATCAGCCATCAAAGGACCCACAGAGGCAAACCACTTTTAGATACCAATCAAGAGAGGCAGCAAAAAGCTAAGAAGGAAACTAAAAGACCACAAGAGTTTCCCTCCAGCAGCCAACACTCAGATAAAAAGGGTTAACACCAGAGGAACAATCTAGCCGCAAACGATATCCTAATCAAAGAACTACTAAGGAGAAAACGATTTTTCCTCCCGTGCCATCACTCTGCTAAACAACTAATTTCCACAACACTGTCAAACTATCTAGTCTATCTAGAAGAGCCTTGGTAGTACAGTGGTCTAAGGCACCCTGTTATTAAGCTGGTTGTTAAGACCAGCTGCCTGCAATTACTGCAGGTTCGAATCTCGCCAAGGCTCAAGGTTGACTCAGCCTTCCATCCTTTCTAAGGTAGGTAAATTGAGGACCCAGTTTGTGGGGGCAATAAGCTGACTTTGTATAAATATACAAAAGGATGAAGGCTATTGCTGAGCACATTGTAAGCCGCCCTGAATCTCCGGAGAAGGGCGGCATATAAATCAAATTAAAAAAACAAAAGACTATATTTCTATTATTCTTCTCAACTTTCCTATTACCTATCCCCGTGATGGCGAACCTATGGCACGTGTGCCATAGGTGGCACGCGGAGTCATGTTGCCTGGCATGCCAGCTCAGCTCTGTCAGCTGATTTTCGGCTCTTTTGAGCCCATCAGAAGAGGGCCTGGGGGGGGGGAAAGGCCCGTTTTTCTTTCTCCCTGGCTCCAGATCCTCTCTATGCATCTGGGGAGGGCGAAAACAGCCTTCCCCACCCCCTCAGAGGCCCGAAACGGCCCGTTTCTCAACTTCCGGCCTCCGAGGGGGTGGGGAAGGCTGTTTTCGTCCTCCCCAGATGCATAGAAAGGATCTGGAGTCAGGTGAGAAAGAAAAATGGGCCTACCGGGCCATCGCGTGCCAGGAGTGGGGGAGGAAGGAGGGGTCACACTCGCATGTGCGTGGCGGGGCACATAGAATTATGGGTGTGGACACACTCACGGGCAAACCTCCCCCACCCCACCCCTTCCTGGCACGTGATGGCAAAAAGGTTAGCCATCACTGACCTATCCCCTTATCTTCTTATGACTATAACGTTGTTGCTTGTATGTTACGATTAATATTGTTTATTTAGTATCCTAGTTTGATTTATGTTGATTGCTTATTTAGTATCCTACGACTATCACTAAGTGTTGTATGTTATGATTTATGATGAATGTATTTTTACAATGACGATGATCATGATTTATCACTTGTTGCTTGTATGTACACTGAGAGCTTATGTACCAGAGACAAATTCCTTGTGTGTCCAATCACACTTGGCCAATAAAAAATTCTATCCTATTCTATACCTCCACCAGCACGCACAGGGAAGCTACTGGACATAAACAGAGAGCAAACTCTACATACACCAGCATTAATGATGTTACGTACCGTAGTTGGATAATGAAACATCTCCAAACAAACAACCAAGCTTAGACAGCACCAAGGACCCCACAATCATCCTTCTCTTCCACTACACACCCCATTCCCTTCTAGCACTGATGATGTTACTTAGTTGGGTAACAAAATGTCTGCAATCAAACAACCAAGGTTAGAGAGCATCAAGGACCCCACAATAAGAGCCTCAGTGGTGCAGCGGACTAAAGTGCTGTTAAGTGCTAGCACTTAGCTGCCAGCTGCCTGCAATTAGTGCAAGTTCGAATCTCACCAGGCTCAAGGTTGACTCAGCCTTCCATCCTTTCGAGGTAGGTAAATTGAGGACCCGAATTGTGGGGGCAATAAGCCAACTTTGTATAGAACACCGCCGCTTGGGGGGGGGGGGGCGAAAGCCCTAGTAAGCAGGTATATACAAAAAAAGTATGCAGTCTATTGCTATAACGCATTGTAAGCCACCCTGAGTCTATGGAGAAGGGCGGCATATAAATTGGACTAATAAATAAATAAATAAATAAATAAATAATCATCCTCTTCCTCCCCATTTCCTTTTAGCACTGATGATATTATCTAGTTGGATAATGAAACATCTACAATCAAACAACCAACCTTAGAGAGCACCAAGGACCCCACAATTCTCCTCCTCCTGCTCCTCACACCCCTCTCCCTTCATGCATTGATGATGTTACCTAGTTGGGTAACAAAACACCTGTAAGCAAACAACCAAGCTTAGAGAGCACTAAGGACCCCACAATCCTCCTCCTCTTCTTCCTCCTCCCACCCCATTCCCATCTAGCACTGACGATGTTACTTAGTTGGGTAATGTCATACCTGCAAGCAAACAACCAAGCTCGGAAATCGCCAAGAACTCCTCAAATAAATGAAATGAAAGTGACCAGCCAGTACCTCTGGGATGAAGGCAGAGCTGTTGGCATCTCTGGGGCCCAGAGCATCACAGAAGATCTCCTCCACCAGGTATTTTCTTCCTGGAATCTCCACCACCGAGCAATTCCCAAAGAAGGCCGAGAACTTCTCCACGTCCAATGTGGCGGACATCACGACGACCTTCAAGGGTTCCTTCCTTTTGATTTCTTTCTCGTGGTGGAACAGCTGCTTCAAGAGGCCAAAGAGGATATCCTGAAAGAGAGGGAGCACAACTAATGTCCACGTTTTGGAAAATAGTCCACTTTCAACCATGGAACACATTAGTGGTCTGTCACAGCCATTTATTTGTTTATTTGTTTGTTTGTTTATTTGTTCAATTTATATGCCACCCTCCTCCAAAGACTCAGGGCGGCTTACAATGCACTTATAGCAATAGCCTTCATTCTTTTGTATATACCTGCTTATTAGGGCTTTTGCCCCCCCCTCCCCATAAGTGGTGTTTCTACAAAGTCAGCTTATTGCCCCCATAATCTGGGTCCTCAATTTACCTACCTCGGAAGGATGGAAGGCTGAGTCAACCTTGAGCCTGGTGAGATTTGAACTTGCAGTAATTGCAGGCAGCTGGTGTTACTTAACGGCACTTTAGTCTGCTGCGCCACCAAGGCTCTTATAATTCTATAAGTATTCTTTATTGCATGAAGGTTTATTTTTCAACTTTCTACTCCAGTTTTCAGAAGGCCTTGAGGTCTTCTGATGACCTAACATCCAAATAAATATTAACCATCTTCAACTCTTAGCTTTTTAAAAAAATTTATTTTATTTATTGGTTCGGTTTATATGCCGCCCTTCTCCGGAGACTCAGGGCGGCTTACAATGCGTTAAGCAATAGCCTTCATACTTTTGTATATAGCTGCTTAGTAGAGCTTTCGGGCCCCCCTAAGCGGTGTTCTTTTTTTTAATACAAAGTCAGCTTATTGCCCCCACAATCCGGGTCCTCAATTTACCTACCTCGGAAGGAAGGCTGAGTCAACCTTGAGCCTGGTGAGATTTGAACTCGCACTAATTGCAGGCAGCTGGCAGCTAAGTGCTACATAACAGCACTTAGTCCACTGCACCACCAAGGCTCTTTGATCTTTTCATTGGCAAAAATATTCCCAGCCAGGGGTGGGCTGCTGGGGGTTCCCAAGGGTTCGGGAGAACCTCTAGCTAAGATTCTCTGCAGTTCGGAGAACTCTCAAATCCTACTCTTGGCTGGCCTCACCCACCCCTCCCCTCCCCTCCTAGGAGTCCCCACGCGGCCCGTTTTGGATGCAGGTAAGTGCAGGGCGCGCGCGGAGGCTTGGGGAGGGTGAAAAATGGGCCTACTAGACGTTCGGTCTCCAGAGGGCCTCTGGAGCCTGGGGAGGCCGTTTTCACCCTCCCAGAGGCTCGAGGAAAGCCTCTGTAGCCTGGGGAAGGCATAAACGCCCCCCCCCCGCTGTGGTGCAGGATGCTGACTAGGCCACGCCCACCATGGCCATGCCCACCCAGCAGCCAGGCAGAGAACCCCTTGCTAAAATTTTTGAAGGCCACCCCTGTTCCCAGCTGTCCGGGAAATACCAGCTAAGACTGCAGGTAGCCCTCGATTTGTGACCACAATGGAGCCCAACATTTCTGTGGCTAAGCAAGCGTGTTCTTAAAGTGAGTTTTGCCCCATTTTACGACCTTTCTTGGCACAGTTGTTAAGTGAATCGCTCTAATTGTTAAGTTAGTAACGCAGCTGTTAAGTGAATCTGGCTTCCCCGTGGCCATTCTGGTCAGAGGGTCACAAAAGGTGATCACACTACCCCCCGGGGACACTGCAACCGTCATAAATATGAATCAGTTGCCAAGCATCTGAATTTTGATCATGTGGCCACAGGGATGCCACAACCGTTGTTAAGTGTGAAAACGGTCATAAGTTCCAGATGTAAAATTAGCATCTGGTTTACCCGAACTGGTCCAAACCAGCTGAATCCAATCCCTGCCTTCAGTCCTTGAGTTTGACACCCTGGCCCCAGGGGTGGGTTCTAAATTTTTTTACTACCGGTTCTGTGGGTGTGGCTTTTTTTTGTGGGTGTGGCTTGGAGGTCATGTGACTAGGTGGGCGTGGCTAGCTGGTCAGAGTCATTTCTGGAAGGTCCTCGCACTTACGACCAGTCCTCACACTTACGACCCGACTCATTTGTTTGCTTTTAACACTGATCAGCTGTAGGGCGGCCCTTTGAAGCCCCCCGGCAAGAGTTTAAACGGGTTTTTTTCCCTCTAGTCATCAGCTGGGACTCAGGAGGCAGCAATAGATTGGGGGTGGGGCCAAATAAAAGGTAAGAATAATGTGGGAGGGTGGGGGGGGGGGGGGGGGGGGGGGGAAGAACCGGTTCGGTGACGTCATATCATCACCGCTACCGGCTCAGCCGAACCGGACTGAACCGGGAGGAACCCACCTCTGCCTGGCCCTAAAGTATTACTTTGACCTCAGCTGCATTCCTTTTTTTTTTTCCTGCATTAAATCCTAGGATCTGAACTTACACTTTTCCTTCTGCCTCCCATGCCCCCTTCTTCTTATGCTGTGTCTTTCAGATCTAGGGAATCTTTTATGAGTGCACCGCAGAGCAAAGTGCTTAAACACTGAATAATTGGTTGGCTGGTTCAGCTTCCACACCAAGCCAGTGATATAAATCTTAACTGGCTTATTTCATTAGCACTGACCGTGCAGAGACTCCGTTCGTGAGCTTCGTCCAGAATAACGACGCCGTATTGGGTCAGATGCGGGTCTGCCAGGATTTGCCTTAACAAGCACCCATCCGTCAGGTACTTGATCGCAGTCTCCTGTGCCATTTAGAATCAATATTTAGTCAGGAATGTCCTTTGGATTATAGCAAAGAAAACTCTTTAAGCTGCTTAAAGGAAATCCTCCATTCAGAAAAACAATGCTTTTTCTTTAATGACTTTTTAAAAAGTGTTAAAAAGTAAAGGGAACCATTTCTCTTGACTGTAGGGGGCGCTGCTCATCAAATAAGCACTAGGGCTTATTTTTGGGAAAACACAATTTCAGACTGGGCGCCCCGGCCCCGGCACGCACACAAGAGGCAGCAGCTGCAGCCCCCGGGCCCTTGGCTGGCACATTCTGGGGCTACGCAGAGTGGAAGGCATGGAGCAGAAGACAATAAATAACCACACATCTCAAGACTGAGCTGGATTCGAACCCATACCTCTGAGATGCATTCCTCAAAGCGAACCTGGTATCCCACAAGGCCTCCCACTGGGCAGCCTAGCTCCTCTGCCACTCTTTCGGCCACAGATATGGCAGCCATGCGCCGTGGCTGTGTCACAGCAATTGTGCCGTGCCTGGCATACCCTATAAAAAGCAAGTAAAAGACATTATCGAGTTTTGGAAAAAGAAAGAACAAAAGACCCTAACCCTTTGAAAAACACGTGTCATTTTATACACCTCTGTGTAGGTACTCCTTGACTTACAACCATTCATTTAGTGACCATTCGAAGCTACAAAGCCACTGGGGGAAAAAAATATGACCATTTTTCACACTTACGACCGTTACAGCATCCCCATGGTCATGTGATCAAAACTCAGATGCTTGTCAACCGACTCATATTTATGACCGTTGCTGTGTCCCGGGGTCACGTGATCACCTTTTTCGACCTTCTGCCAAGCCAAGCCAATGCCAGAGTCATTTAACATCCGTGTTACTAACTTTAACTGCAGTGATTCACTTAACAACTACAGCAAGAAAGGTCGTACAATGGGGCAAAACTTACTTAAAAACTGTCTTGCTTAGCAAAGGAAATGTTGAGCTGGATTGTGGTCGTAAGTCGGGGACCACCTATACACAAGAATCTAGTGCAGTGATGGTGTTAGGAAATGGTTATTTGTCTAACTAGTTGGTCAGGCAATATATAAACCAACAATTTAAGTTTGCAGTCAGAAAGGTATTATATTGCTTTAAGACTGTATTGCATCATCCTGTATCCTGATTGGCTAAGCTCTGTAGCCAATCTACTTACGGGAAGTCAGGATACTTGTGTGGATACTACACCATTTTGCCTGCTTATTTGCTGTAACTCTCTACCTGATTTCTCTGCATGATCACTGTTTGATCATAGCTACATGTTGCTTTCTACTATTTATTGAATGTTTTGATATTGAACTTGTTCCTGTTTTGAAACTCAAGAAGAACTGTTTTAATGTGTATGACCACAACTGGTAAGAAGACTTTGTACTTGAAATATCCCTGGACTGATCTTTTAACTCTCGTCTTGTCTGTGTATGACTTGGATTGTTTTTGGACTTTGCATTACTTTTTCTAAAAGTAAAAGACTACAACAACTCAGTGTGTTTATAAGTTGACCGTCATTGTTCACAACCACTCCCAGTCGTTTTCATGCGTTTACTCAAAGGGTACTCTGCTCAATAACCCACAACATCGGTTATGAGCCAAGAATAACCTTAACAGATGGCTAACATTTTCTGGACCGAGTGGCCAAAGCGCATACATGCACGTGCGAATACGCATGTGCCCAAATCCCCAAAATGCAATGTGTGCACAGTTCCCGCACGCCCCCATATGCATGTGTGTGTTGCCCACTGCACATATTCCCCCCCGCATGCGCACATTGCCCATGTACATGCCCCACCCCCCTGCAGGCACCCCACTTGTGCTTGCACGTGCACAGCCCCACACAACCCCTGCCCCCCATGTATGCACGGTAGAGACCTGAAGACTAGCTGGCTGGCGGGAGGTACATGCGCATGTGCGGCGGAGCTAAACTGGGGTGACGCGTGCCATGTGTTCGCCATCACAGGTTTATGACAATCTAATAACTCTAAGCTAATGACACACTTAACTCCGCCCTCCCAACTCTGCCTGCTCTTCTCCTACATAAACCTTGGCAATTACTCGCACCCGTGAATCTTGGAAGCGGGATACACTCGTGCATACATGCTCTTACCTTCTTCAAACAAGTATTTGGGAAGTTGGGTGGTTTTTCCGCTTCCCGTCTCACCCGTCACCACAACAAATGTGTTGCCTTGAATAGTCTCCACTAATTTCCTTCGGAATTTGCTGATGGGCAGCTGTGCAGAGTTCGGAGTTTTTTTTCTTTCCTCCCTTCGGCATTTTGGGTTGTTGCTCTGTGGGCACAAAACACAAGCAAAATGGAGAAATGTGTGGTTAAGCGATAAAAAGAATCCCAACAGTTTAGTTTTTGTTAATGTTTATTTATTGGTTCGATTTATATGCCGCCCTTCTCCGGAGCCTCAGGGCGGCTTACAATACGTTAAGCAATAGCCTTCATACTTTTGTATATACCTGCTTAGTAGGGCTTTTCACCCCCCCCCCCAAGCGGGGTTCTTTTTTTTAATACAAAGTCAGCTTATTGCCCCCACAATCCGGGTCCTCATTTTATCTACCTCGGAAGGATGAGTCAACCTTGAGCCTGGTGAGATTTGAACTCGCAGTAATTGCAGGCAGCTGGTGTTACTTAACAGCACTTTAGTCTGCTGCACCACCAAGGCTCTAATTAATGTTAAGTTAATGTTAAGTCCTTTGGAAATGATGAAACCTGCCCAAGGTTCTCTGTAGAGCAGGATGACTGAGCTGGATGGTGTGTGTGTGTGTGTGTGTGCGTGCATGCGCAGGTGGCGCACAAAACAATAGGTACAACTTTGCAAACAAAGGCCCACATTTTTTTTCTTTTTACGTGCAGGGTTCCAATCACAACATTACACCTTAGGTAAAGGTTGTTGTGGCCCTGTCCTCCGAGCCTGTCTCATCGGAGGAAGAAGGCTCCGAACATGAAGAAGAGGAGTCGGCCAGGCCTCCCTCTCCAGGCCCCTCCCCTCTGGCACTGCCTCAGGTGCCGGCCGAGGAAGAGGAGATTAGCCAGGAGCCAGGTGTCTCCGATGAGAGCAAGGGAGGTGATCTGTTGTTCCTGGATCCACGCCAACGAAGGCGTGATAAACGGTTGCAGCAGTTGAGGAGGCATGCCAGGGATTATAACTGAGTCACTGGACCACACCCCAGAGACTATATAAGAGAGGGTGGTGGCCGTTGAAAACTCTGTGATGAACAAAAACTAACTCTGGCTAGTCACTTGAACAACCTGTAAATCAGCCGAAGGGATATTGTTTGAGCTGGACTATTTACAATTCATATGTATTTTATGTTATCTGTTGAAGTAAAGCTCTTGGCAGACCGTGCTTGTTTTGTTGCCAAGTTTACATAACGACCTGTGTGCATGCCAAGTGCTTTCTTAACCCTCGGCTGGCTGTGTTTGTGTGTGTGTGGAGATGGGGACAGAACAAAGGTAAAGGTTCCCCTTGCACATATGTGCTAGTCGTTCCCAACTCTAGGGGGCGGTGCTCATCTCCGTTTCAAAGCCGAAGAGCCAGCGCTGTCCGAAGACGTCTCCGTGGTCATGTGGCCGGCATGACTAAACGCCAAAGGCGCACGGAACGCTGTTACTTTCCCACCAAAGGTGGCCCCTATTTTTCTACTTCCATTTTTTTTTACCTGCTTTCGAACTGCTAGGTTGGCAGAAGCTGGGACAAGTCACGGGAGCTCACCCCATTACGCGGCGCTAGGGATTCAAACCGCTGAACTGCTGACTTTTCGATTGACGAGCTCAGCGTCTTAGCCACTGAGCCACCACGTCACTGTACATTGCACCTTATTTTTTTGCAAAATTTGGACTCTTTATGGCTAGTTTTCCTGACTTTCAGATTGTTCAGCTGCAGGTAAAAGCAGAAACGGAAACGGTAACAGAGTTGGAAAGGACTTTGGAGGTTATCTATTAGCTCAACACCCTGCTCAAGCAGAAGACTTATACTATCTCTGATAAACAGCTGTCCAGTCTCTTCTTAAAAGCCTTCAGTGATGGGGCACCCACAACTTCCCCTGGTTAATTGTTCTCACTGTCAGAAAATTTCTCCTTAGTTCTAGGTTGCTTCTCTCCTTGATTAGTTTCCACCCATTGCTTCTCGTCCTGCCTTCAGGTGCTTTGGAGAATATCTTGACTCCCTCTTCTTTCGGGCAATCCCTGAGATATTGGAAGACTGCTATCATGTCACTCCTAGTCCTTCTTTTCATCAAACTAGACATACCCAGTTCCTGCAACTGTTCTTCATATGTTTTAGCTTCTAGGCCCCTAATCATTTTTGTTGCTCTTCTCTGAACATTTTCCAAAGTCTCAACATCTTTTTTTGAGATCTTGAGGCCACCTTGTCTTTATTTTTTTTTACATCCATGGAGATTCTCAGTCATTCAGGTCACAGTTGTCCCAAAGGTGTTTTTTCAGGAGGTAACTGGACTTGCTCCTTTTTTCTTTGAAGATGTTTTGCTTCTTATCTAAGAAGCTTCTTCAGCTCTGACCGGATGGTAGGGAATGGAATATAAATATTGTTTATATTTATTTTTTTATTATTTTTTATTTTGATTTATATGCCGCCCTTCTCCGGAGACTCAGGGCGGCTTACAATGCGTTAAGCAATAGCCTTCATACTTTTGTATATTTATACAAAGTCAGCTTATTGCCCCCACAAACTGGGTCCTCATTTTACCTACCTTAGAAAGGATGGAAGGCTGAGTCAACCTTGAGCCTGGTGAGATTTGAACTTGCAGTAATTGCAGACAGCTGGTGCACTGTAACAGTGCTTAATCAGCTACGCCACCAGGCTCCTATTTATTTATTTATTTATTTTTATTTTACTTCAAATTTATATACCGCCCTTCTCCCTAGGGACTCAGGGCGGTGTACAGCCAAATAAAAACACATAATAAATACATTAAGAACAGATTAAAAGGAAATATCTCAGTTTGGCCCAAAATTTAAAAAGACAAACAAATTTAAAATCATTAAAAAAATTTGTTAGGCCAGCCCGGCTCGTTGGAAAAGGAAAGTTTTAAGGGCACAGCGGAAGGCACGGAGGTCTTGGATATTAATAATGGATTGTTAATATGTGTGTTGGATCTGGTCTTTGGGTGTTAAGTGAATTTTGTTGTATAAGTATACTGTGTATACACGTACAATGACAATAAAGTTATTATTATTACTATTAAATATAAATCCTTCCACTCCCCACCGATCCGGTCAGAGCTGAAGAAGCTTCCTGGATAAGAAGCGAAACGTCTTCAAAGAAAAACCAGAAAGCCCAGTTGCCTCTTGGGGGGAAAAAAAGCACCTTTGGGAACATTTTTGTTTACATCGTTATGCAGCATTGACTATATGTGACACACTCCATCAGTACTATTGATCGCAGAAGGCATTTTCAGACGATGCGAGGGGCAATCCGTTGGGGCAATACACCCATAGCTCTTAACCTCATCTCAAAACAAACCGAAAGACAAGGGGAGGCTCTCCCAAATGCATGCACAGTCAGAAACCGGTTGGTCGTATTGCAACCATTTCTGATTTGCAACAACAAAAAAAAGGGAACAAAAGTACTATTAGCACAGAGTTTACAATTCCCCAAGTTGGGGAAACTGCATTAGGGGAAAAAAGGAACACATTAACCTGATGATTTTAAAGAGGGGAGGGGGAAATCTATAATAATTGCAATACTCTGGGTGAGGCATGCTGGGAGACGTAGTTCCATAGCATCACAGCACAAGCCAAGGAACTATGAGGCTTAAGCCGAGCACCACCACATCCCCCCATCCACCAGCCGACGTTCTGCGCATGTGCTGTACTACACTCCCCATCCTCCACGGCCAGCAACGCCTTCCCACTGGAAACAGTCCTTCTTACCTTTTGCAGGCGATCCCTTCCATAAGGAGCAGCAGCCACGTGACTCCTGGAGAACACGTGGTTAGCACACACACACACACACACACACACACAAAGAAACTGACGTCACGCCCTTCCTGGCACAAGCCCCACCTACCTGTCTAGCCCCGCCTCTTTTGTGATCAGCTGTAGCACTTTGGACTGTCATAGAAACTGATTGATTGATTGATTCAGGAAGAAAGGGAGGGAGGGATTGATTATCTGCTATCAATCTAGTCCGGGATTTAGCAATTGCACCGATTAGGTGAATGAACGCTGAAAAAGTGGCCGAGTTCTCACGATCACAGGATAGCAGATCTATTTGCGATCCTCCACTGCCCTCTACAGCAGGGATCTCCAACCTTGGCAACTTTAAGACTTGTGGACTTCAACTCCCAGAATTCCACAACCAGCTTTGCTGGCTGTGGAATTCTGGGAGTTGAAGTCCACAAGTCTTAAAGTTGGCAAAGCTGGCTGTGGAATTCTGGGAGTTGAAGTCCACAAGTCTTAAAGTTGCAAAGCTGGCTGTGGAATTCTGGGAGTTGAAGTCCACAAGTCTTAAAGTTGCAAAGCTGGCTGTGGAATTCTGGGAGTTGAAGTCCACAAGTCTTAAAGTTGCAAAGCTGGCTGTGGAATTCTGGGAGTTGAAGTCCACAAGTCTTAAAGTTGCAAGCTGGCTGTGGAATTCTGGGAGTTGAAGTCCACAAGTCTTAAAGTGGCCAAGGTTGGAGACCCTCTATTCTACAGCACTCTTTCCTGGCAATGTTAAGATGGGTGGGTGGCTAGCCAAGGAATGCTGGGAGTTGAAGCCCACTCATCTGAAAAACAAAGCTGGCTGTGGAATTCTGGGAGTTGAAGTCCACACACCTTTAAGCATACTGGCTGGGGGATGCTGGGAGCTGAAGTCCACCCACCACCTAAAATGCAAGCTGGCCAGGGAATTCTGGGAGTTGTGGCTGCGGAATGCTGGGAGTTGAAGCCCACCGATCTAAAAAGCAAGTTAGTCAGGGAATTCTGGGAGTTGAAATTCACCCATCTAAAAACAACAACAACAACAAGCTGACTGGGGAATTCTGGAAATCAAAGCCCAGACATCTTAAAAGTTGCCAGGCTGAGAAATAGTAGTCCTCAAATTTCAGCCACTTGTTTAGCGGCCGTTCCAAGTTACAACGGAACTCAAAAAAGTGACTTATGACTGGTCCTTGGACTTACAACTATGGTAACATCTCCACAATTATGTGATCAAAAAGTCAGGTGTTTGTCAACCAGCACCTATCACCATTTGTGACCTTCCCAGCTGATTTCCAACAAGCAAAGTCAATGGGGGGAAGCAAGATTTTCTTAATGACTGTGTGATTCACTCAACAACTGAAATTATTTCCTTGACAAAAAAGATCATATAAAAATCAGTTGTCACTCACATAACAACCACCTCGCTTAGCAATACTGGTCCCAATTATGGTGGTAAGTCGAGGACTACTTGATGAGTATACTGTTTGAGAATTGCTCGTTGCATTGTCGATGGCGGCCTGGGTTTATTCCTTGTAATTGGGAAAGATGGAAGGCAAAAGGAGAAGGAGACAGATAACAGAATAACGGTTGGAAGGCACCTTGTAGGTCATCTAGTCCAACCCGCTCCCACCCGTGCCCCCAAGCATGAGACAGAAGATGGTTAGATAGTAGCATTGATGCAATGAACATGAATTTGGGCAAACACTGAGAGACAGTGGAGATGTCAGCACTTCAAGCTGCATTTACTCTAGTGCTGACATAAGAAGGAGAAGCGGAGGCGTCTGGAAAGGGACGTTTGACTTTTCACCTACTTATTTTCCCTGGAGATAATATCCCCTAGGACAGTGATGGCTAATCTTTTTGCCATCGCGTGCCAAAAGCGAGGGGAACGTGGGGAGGTCATACGCACACGTGCCCACGTCCATAATCCTATGCACCCCGCCCCACCTGTGCTCCCCCCGCTTTTGGCGCACAATGGCACGGTGGGCCCAGTAGGCCCGTTTTTCGCTCTCCCCAGGCTCCAGAGCCTTTCTAGGAGCCTGGGGAGGGCGAAAACAGCCTTCCCCACCTCGGAGGCCGGAAACAGCGTGTTTCTTGACTTCTGGTGGGCCCAGAAGGCCCAAAAATCTGCTGGCCGGAGCATGCATGTGCACCGGAGCTGAGCTCGCATGCCCACCGATATGGCTCCACGTGCCACCTGTGGCACCCTTGCCATAGGTTCGCCATCACGGCCCTAGGAGATGGGATGGGAGGGGGGAAATTCCTTTAAGCTGGAGCAGTAGATTAGGGGTAGAGTGACTTGGAAGATGGCCAATGAGTGCAGAGGAGTGGGGAATGAAAGGGAGGGTTTTGGGTCTGGAAGTCAATGTTGGCTGCGATGGAGTCAGAGTTAGAATGTCGTGCTTAATAAATGGGAGTTTTTCATCAAAGACTTTGTCTGAAATGCAATTCATTTGAGACGACCTCGAAACCTGACAGGAGGATAGTGGGGCTTGCCATACTATGGTCCATGGCAGGGGTCACCAACAGTGGTGGGTTTCAAATTTTTTTTACTACCAGTTCTGTGGGTGTGGCTTGGTGGGTGTGGCATGGCTTGGTGGGTGTAGCTTGGTGGGCATGGCAGGGGAAGGATACTGTAAAATCTCCATTCCCACCCCAGTCCAGGGGAAGGATACTGTAAAATCTCCATTCCCATCCCACTCCAAGCGAAGGTTATTGCAAAATCCCCATTTCCTCCCAATCAGCTGGGACTTGGGGGGCAGAGAATAGATGTGGGCGGGGCCAGTCAGAATTTTTACTACCGGTTTTCCGAACTACTCAAAATTTCCGCTACCGGTTCTCCAGAACTGGTCAGAACCTGCTGAAACCCACCTCTGGTCACCAACCTTTCAGACCTCAGGGACCACTAAATTCATAATTTTAAATCCCGTGGACCACTAATATGACCTGACTAATGACTGGCTGGGTGGGCGCGGCTAGGTAGTCATGTGACTGGGTGGGCGTGGCCAACTCAATGTCACTCATGTCAAGTGGGGCCTCGTCAGCCTTTACTCACCCCTCCCCTCCCAGCCCCTCCTTGCCTGCCCACCCAGGCTCCTTAGTGTCCCAACAGGAAACAGTTGTTGGAGCTAAGCAGCCACCACAAGAAAGAGTTGGCAAAACAGCTCAGTTCAAATTGGATCTGACCGAGAAGGAGGCTCAGCAGAAGCACCTCACTGAGGACTAGGAGCATAGGCTTTCCAAGCAGAGGGAAGACCTGCGGGAGTGCAAGGCCAGGTACTGGCACTGGAGGCTCAGCGGGCTCAGATGGTCAGCCAGTTCCAGGACATGATGCAGTCCCACTGGAACAAGGACCTCTGGCTCTTTGCCACCAGCGATACTTCCCTCCAGCCTTCGCCCAATGCTCTGCACCAGGAGGCTGAAGCAGACCCCGAGTTCAAATTTCTGCCCCCCTCCGACCGACACAAGAAGACCCCGAAGGGGGAGACTCCCTGCAGCAACACAACCGTTCATTGCACGTATCCAGCCCAGGGGCCATAGTTTGCGGACCCCTGATTTAGTGCAATATAAAAAATGCAAAAAAAATTTCTGTGGACCACCAAAATTTTCTCACAGACCACCAGTGGTCCACGGACCACCGGTTGGTGACCACTGCTCTATGGGATTGCAAAGATTCGGATACAATTTAGCAACTGAACCCCAATCTAGGGCTGCCATAAAAAGGCTGTAAAATTATGAACTGACCACTAGAGGGCAGAAAAGGATATTCTTTGCTGACACTTAGGGCCCCGTTTCTCAATCTTGGCCACTGGAAGATGTGTGGACTTCAACTCCCAGAATTCCCAGAAATACAGATTCACTGAAGTTTGAGCAAACCAGGCCAGCTGTGGATGATTTTACAAAAAAATATCAGTAAGCCAAGCATGGGTCAGGCAGTTATGTGAATTGAGCCATTGCCTGGGTTCCTACTACACCTAAGGAAGGGCTAGGCAACGATAGCAACTTAAAAACCTGGGGACTTCAATTGCCAGAATTCCTGAGCCAGCATGACTGGTTCAGGAATTCTGGGAGTTGGTCGTAAAGTTGTCATAGCTGCCCATCCCTGCCTAAGAATAAACCACAGTATGCCTTACTGGTTTTGCCAAAACCTGGAAGTAGCTGCTTAGGGAATCTTGGGTGTTGAAGTCCACATGGCTTCAAGTTTCTAAGGATGAGAAACACGGCCCTAAGCACAAAATATGGTGTGCGGTTGTGTTTTCTGAACTTTGCTTGAAAAATCACTCCCAAAGACAAACAAGAAGGAGAGAAAATCCTTCCCCGCCCTGTTGATTTGCAGGTTGCCTTTATCACTGGTAAAACTTCCTGGAGTTAATCTTATCAGTTTGCAGTGAAAATGTTTGCTTAAAAAAAAATGGCAAGTCGAATTCTGCCTTATGACCACTTTCCATTACGTGAGATTCCAGAGCAAACATACCGGCAAAGCAAAGGGCGAATGGCAAGAAAAGATACAAGCTGAATACACCTGGATAAGATTTTCCGAGCATGGGGCCGTACGTTCTCGCAAATTCTTTCTCACTTTTTCTCCAGATTTATACAACGTCACAGAACCTAAGGCAAATTTCTTGCCACGTGGCAGAAAGGCTCTGAATTGCCGTGATAAAAGGACAACGTTGAATTCTCACCTTTCAATCAGCTCAAGGATTGACCTGTTTTGCTGTAGTTTTTGTTTGTTTTTTAATTTGATTTATATGCTGCCCTTCTCCGGAGACTCAGGGCGGCTTAGAATGCGCTAAGCAATAGCCTTCATCCTTTTGTATATTTATACAAAGTCAGCTTATTGCCAGCACAACTGGGTCCTCAATTTACCTACCTTAGAAAGGATGGAAGGCTGAGTCAACCTTGAGCCTTGGCGAGATTCGAACCTGCAGTAATTGCAGGCAGCTGGTCTTAATAACAGGGTGCTTTAGACCACTGTACTACCAAGGCTCTTGTTAAGCCAACTTCAGTTCTTATGTGAATTGGTCCTCACA